GCTTGCACAGCATCCTAGTTTGACCCTTCCCTGCCCCTCTCCATCAGTGCTGGGGTCACATCAGCTCAGTGATGGAGAAAACTGAGGGAGAGGAGAAACACTGGAATACTAGTCAGTACCAGTGTGCAAAAGTGTATTTGCTTTGGAAGAATAAATCACCTCTAACGTTGGGTGTCCTACATGTGTGGATGTTGCTGCGTTATATAAAACTATTAGAATACTTTTTCACATTTTAGAATGGGGTGCCCTTTTAAAATTATGGACAGTCTAGGGGTGCCTCAAGACTGTGCATAATTTTATAGGGTGCCCCAGGACTGTCCATAATTTTAAAGGTTGCCTTGACTGAAAAAAGGTTGAGAAAACACTGGTGTAGCCCACTGTCCTCCAGACCTCAACTAAAAATCATGGTGGCTCTGGGGGGGGGGGGGGGTTTAGTGATGGAACTGCTGGCTGTTCGTGATGGCCCGGCACTAAAGCCCAGAAGCTGAAACAATCAGCTTGTGGGGTTGCTATCTGGATACGGGATTCTCTTTTGCTTTGTGTTTAACCACTTGAGCTTGACTACTTTTACCCCCTTCATGACCAGGCCATTTTTTGCTGTGTTTCTTTACCTGGTAATTGCACGCTCATGCAATGCCAGGGGCGGACTGACCATTTGGAAACTTGGGCACTGCCCGAGGGCCCGGGGTCAGTAGGGGGCCCCATGAGATGCCCCTGGTACCTTTTTAATAGGCTTTTGTGAGTTTGGGCAAGAACACAGGGGCCCCATGATCCCCTATTGCCTGGGGGCCCCATGAGTTGTCAGTCCACCCCCGTGCAATGCTGTACCCAAACTAAATTTATATAATTTCATTTTTTTCACACAAATAGATCTTTCTTTTGGTGGTATTTGATCACCACTTGATTTTTTAATTTTTTTGCAAGATAAAAAAGATCAAACATTTTTTAAAGAACAATGTATTTTACTTTCTGCTACAAAACATGTCCAAAAAAAAAGAAAAAAAAATCTAATTTCTTCATAAATTTTGGGCAAAATGTAATCTGCTACATGTCGTTGATAAAAACAAAATTCCGATAAGTGTATGTTGATTGGTTTGCATGAAAGTTAAAGGATAAGTTCACCTTTTGGCCAAAAATAATAAATACGCATATTTTTGCAGGTAAAAAAAATGTGCATTTATCATTTTTGTCTACAGGAGTCTGGAAAGCATTGCACAGGGGATCAGTAGATCTATGATGACATGCAGGTCTCCTGCAGACCTGTCAGAATATCTGCTTGCTGTACGGGATGCATGAGCAAGTAGATATTGTAACAGGAAGCTTCAATGAACTACCACAGAGCTCCACAGTGCAGTAGTAGTTCATTGAAAACTACAAGCCGACAGCCACAAAGGCTGTCGAGACTTGCAGTTCATTCATTCTCGTAAATCCATGAATGAATGATGCAGTCGTGTGGGTGGAGCACTGTCTTCAAATTTGACAGATAGGGGTTTATTTACTAAAGCTGGAGAGTGCAAAATCAGACTCCCTTCTGCATAGAAACCAATCAGCTTCCAGGTTTCATTGCCAAAGCTTCATTGAACAAGCTGAGGTTAGAAGCTGATTGGTTTCTATGCAGAAGGGAGTCTGATTTTGGACTCTCCAGCTTTAGTAAATAAACCCCATAGTGTCAGGGACTGCGGGTCTCGCAGCGGCGCACAGGTCTGCACATACACAGATTGCCTAGGTGCACTAATGTGCAGGCACTAGGACCTGGGCGTCGGCGTCGACAATTGCACCAATGACGGTGCAGGGTGCACTATTTAAATTGGCCAGATGGTGACTAGGTTGCAGCAAAGGTCTAGTTCCTGTACCTGTGTTCTGAAGTGTGTTCCTGTTGCCGATCCTGCTTGTCCTGATTTGTGTTGACCTTCTCCTGCTCTGACCCCCGGCTCGTCCCTGACTACTCTCCTGCCTGTTGTATATTACTATTGGACCTCCCATTGCTGAACCTTGGCTCGTGACCCGGCTGCTCTCTCTCTACTGTTTTGTACCTACCTGCCTCCACCGTTACCGACCTGGCTAGTCTGACTACGCTCATTCCTGACTGTCATCCATCCATCCCGCTCGGGACCTGGACTTGTCAGCCTCTTCACAGCAGGCTCACCCCCCCCGGCACGTACCCTCGGCGGGACCCCTCTACCACAGTTGGGTGCACTCAGGGGTCGTGACCTGGTTTCAGTCTCGCATCAAGTCCATCCCCACCATCAGGGGCTCTGGTGAAAAGGCAGACTGGGACTTAGACTCCACGTCCTGGGGAATCCCGTTCTGTGGATCACTAGAGATTCCGCCGGGCGGTGCCTGACAGATAGTATGAGGGGACTTCTCCCCGTGCTATCTGCCAGAGGCAGGGTGGTGGGGGTGACAGGCGGTGGCTGAAGCGGGGGGGGGGGGGTGGTGACAGGTGGTGGCTGAGGCTATGGGAACATGTTACATGTTCCACCCTAAACACGTGTGGAACATGTAACATGTTCCCAAAAGTGAACTTATCCTTTAAAGCACCTACAAACTATGGTATATATACTGTGGTTTTTTTATACTACTAATGGGGGTGATCAGCAACTTATAATGGGACTGTGCGGTGAGCAAACTGACACAAACTGATGCTGGGTGGAACTGACTAACTGACACTGACATCACCAGCGACACTTATACAGTGATTAGTGATAATACTATACACTGCCACTGTGTTAATGACACTGGCTGCGAAGGAGTTAACATCTAGAGCAATCAAGGGGTTAAATGTGTGCCTAACTATGTGCAATGTGTGTAAAGTGTGTAGCTTTTGTTAATAGATCTCTTAGTTTCTCATACCTACTTTGCAGTGATGAGAAACAGAGGGGTTTTTCCCTCTGTGCAGAGCTCTGTGTTGATTGTCAACAGAGAGCTCTGGGCTGTGATTGTTCACAGCTGATTAGCAGGTCCTGTACGGGTATGTTGCTTTGCCTGTGAGGGTTGACCGTCCACAGTACAATGCAGTCGGCCTGCAAGTGGTTAAAGAGGAATGGCTCTGATGTTACCTGTAACTTCATATGCACTGGAGCACCACTCCAACATATATGCTTAGACGGTGATCTGCTCTGCTTACCCCTGCAGAAACAGATCACTGCAATAGTACTCTATTGCTTACTATTAACAGTGAGCAATAGACCACTGTTATTAGAGACCTGTTACTGATTCCTTGAACTAGTCTAGACACCCCTCCCCCCCAATGAAGAGAAAAAATTAGACAAAAAAATTAATCTAATTTAATAAATGATAAATAAATAATTTCTCCCCATTAATCCCCAAATCCAAATAATGACACCAGATGCTGTGGATGAAAAGCTTTTCCAACATTTACACAAGCAAGTGCAACGTCATTTGCTAATGTTTAATTTTTAATATTTTAGAGATAATAAACTTGTACAAATGTTGCAATTTTCTGTGTGTTCAAATCTAACTTTATCATGTATTGTAACTTTAACAATTTACAGGTAGAATGCTTTAAATGTAATATTTTTATTAATGGCAATTAATCCTTGCAAATTAACAAAAAGCTAAACTATTGTGCAGCCCTCTGGATATCCAGCAGCCTATAGATCCAGCACAGGTCCACAAACTCCTGCTGTCAAAAGGTGGATAAAAACGGAATGGGCACAGAGATCACAAAAGGGACATTCGTCCTGTTCTGCTCCGATTCAGCGGGTGATCAGTTCATGGATTCCCTGCTGAACGGAGCAGAGCATGCCTGCAGGAAAGAACCCTATCAATTATTGACTTAAAGAAGAACTATGGCCTCCTATTAAAATGATATGATAATTCTAAGTACATCTGAATTTACTGTTTTTTCTTCATCTCCCTGCTTAGTCCCACAAATAGCTACGTATTGAGCCCATGGGCGGACTGACCATTGGGGAACTCGGGCACTGCCCAAGGGCCCAGGGTCAGGAGGAGAGGCCCCATGAAATGTCCCTGGTACCTTTCATAAGCTTTTTTGGGTGTGGTTTGAGTGTTGGTGAGGACACAGGGGCCCTATGATTCCCTATTGCCCGGGGTCCCCATGAGTTGTCAGTCCGCCCCTGAATGAGCCTTATACAGTTTTTTTTTTTGTGATGTGGTGGCAACGGTGCTGCATTGCTCACAAGTTTTGAGTAGTTTTGCCACTTTCATATGGGCCGTGCCTACTTACATTAACCACTTGCCCTCCAGAGGATTTACCCCCCCCCTTCCTGACCAGGCCATTTTTTGCGATACTACACTGTGTTACATTAACTGACAATTGCGCGGTCATGCAATGCTGCACCCAAATTAAATTTACATCCTTTTTTCCCACAAATAGAGCTTTCTTTTGGTGGTATTTGATCGCCTGTGCATTATTTATTTTATGCGCTATAAACAAATGACAATTTTGAAAAAAAAAAAACAATATTTTTGACTTTCTGCTATTAACCTCCCTAGCGGTCTGATTATGTCCATATTTCTGTGCTCAAAGCGGTACATTTTTTTTGCATGGAAATATGTATTTTTTTTTATTGTAGGCCTGTAATTTTTAGGAATAACTCACTGAAATCTGTCCGAACAAGAGTCTAGTAAACATCCCGGGTATGTTAAAATTTGAAACACGAAATTATAAATTCTAATTTAATAAATAATTATAATAAATAATAATATAATAATAATAAATTTAATTCAATAATATAATCAAACCAAAAACACTGAAATTTGAGATAGAGCGCCAAGTTCGCACATCACTGAGCAAAGTCTCAAAATCGTTTTCAGTGTCTGATGACGAATTTCCCCACAAATCATTATCACTCAATTCTGCAAGTGGTTCTGATTTACTATCGCTGTTCTCTAGCTGGTCTAAAACCAATTTTGACCTAAAAGGGACGCTTTTTGGACGCCATGGACATTTCTCAGTTTCCAGGCAGAAAGAACAGTAAAAATGCAGGCAGGGCACAGGACAAAGCATTGCAATAGTATGTGAAATGGTTTGATAAAGTAATGTTTTACTATGTTATTTTAGTGAATTAACCTCCCTGGCGGTATGATTATTTCAGATTTTTGGTGCTGAAAGCGGTACCATTTTTTTGCATGGAAATATGTATTTTTTTTATTGTAGGCTGTAATTTTTAGGAAAAACTCACTGAAATCTGTCCGAACAAGAGTCTAGTAAACATCCCGGGTATGATAAAATTTGAAACACAAAATCATAAATTATAATTTAATAAATAATCATAAAAATAATATAAAAATAATAAAAAATTTAATTCAATAATATAATCAAACCAAAAACACTGAAATGTGAAATAGAGCGCCAAGTTCGCACATTGCTGAGCTCAGTCGCAAAATCGTTTTCAGTGTCTGATGACGAATTTCCCCCACGAATCATTATCACTCAATTCTGCAAGTGGTTCTGATTTACTATTGCTGTTCTCTAGCTGATCTAAACCGCTTTTTGACCTAAAGGGACACTTTTTGGACGCCATGGACATTTCTCAGTTTCCAGGCAGAAAGAACAGACAAAATGCAGGCAGGGCGCAGGACAAAGCACTAGGGACAATATGTATGTGAAATTGGTTGAGACAGCAATGTTTTACTAGGTAAAATGTAAAAAAAAAAAAAAAATGACATTTTTTAAAATTTTTAAATTTCCCGCCGCCGGCGGCTGCGGCGCCCGTACGTCCCGACGTCACAGGGACAGGACACAGAAGCCGGATGCCGGCATCGGCCGGAGGAGATGGCCGGGGACGCTGCAGGGGACACATCGTGGGAGCGCAGGGTAAGGTAAGTGAAGAACACTTGCCGGAGCAGTGCCTCAGGGTAAGCCCGAGTGTAGCTCGGGGTTACCGCTTTTGGTACTGAAATGTTACCCCGAGCTACACTCGGGAATACCGCCAGGGAGGTTAATGAATGTCACTTTTGTAATTTTCAAATTGCCCACCACTCCCCGTATGTCCCGACATCGCAGTGGACGGAACCCAGAAGACAGATACCGGCATCGGCCGGAGGACATTACAGGGGACACTGCAGGAGGGACATCGCGGGAGCGCAGGACAAGGTAAGAGAAGAACAGATCCCAGAGCAGCGCCGCATGGTATTCCCGAGTGTAGCTCGGGGTTACCACTTGTGGTACTGAAACTTTACCCCGAGCTACACTCGGGAATACCGCCGGGGAGGCTACACATGTCCAGTAAAAAAATTTATAAATTCAAATTTCATCATAAATTTAGGCCAAAATGTATTCTGCTACATGTCTTTGCTACAAAAAAATCCCAATACATGTAAAATAATTGGTTTACATAAAAGCTATATTGTTTACAAATGGCGGTATATATACTGGAATTTTTTCTTTATTTTTTTACTAGTAATGGTGGCAATCAGCGACTTATAGCGGGACTGCGGTGGGCATTCTGATACTGGGGAGAACTGACTTGGTGACACTGACATCCCCAGTGACACCAATACAGTGATCAGTGCTAATAAAAAGCACTGACACTGTACTAATGGCACTGGGCAGGAAGGAGTTAACATACGGGGCAATCAAAGGTTACCTGTGTGCTGTTTCACTGTGTGCTGTGTGTGTTTCACTGTAAGCACACTGCTTTGTATGGCTCTGCTATGCAGAACCATACAAAGTAGTGTGCTGGAGCTGACAGGGGGGAGATCTGTATTGTTTACATATAGGGCTCTCCCCCGTTGGAGATTGCTGGGTGCTGGCGGAGAAACACCATCCGGGACCCGGTGACTGACAACTTAGTCCATGAATGGCAGCGGAACTGCGGAACGATACATGATTTTGCACACCCATGCAGTCCTGTAGCAGTATTTCTGCTATAAGGCGGCACGGAAGCGGTTAAAGTGTAATGGGAAAATATTGCAGTTGGTGTGGCTATTCACAAGCCTGTAGCTGTTCAGTTAGCAGCTGGCCACCCCTAGTCCTGCCCACTGCACTCCGGATTAACAGCATTAGCTCTACTGCTGAAATGTGGCTGCAGTGCCTGGAAGGGGAAGCATATGAGGCACACATGGAAGAGGATTCGGCTTAGTACAGGAAGGCAAAGGAAGTTTTTTTGTTTACATTATAAAATAGTTACTGGATTTAGTAAATGTTTGGACTGCCAAACAGGAACCTTTAGATATTCTTCAATAACTTTCATTTCTGAAACAAGTGCAGATCACTGTTAACAGTAAAATATATATATATATATATATATATATATATATATATATATATATATATATCTCAATAAAGAAACTATTTTTATTTCTTGTCTATGGACATATTCATAATTTTTAAAAAGGTTTCATCTGTTCTAACTTGAATCATTCAATAAATGCTGTTAAATAATTTCAACAGAGTATCATGGCATAAATGATACCTAGCTCTGTATTTACATAGATTGCTCTCAGCTCCTATCTCCATCCAATGACTCCTGGGCTTAACAGTTTGCAAGACAGAAAGTATGTACTAATGTCTACAAAAGAGGTAATTGCTCTTTGGCTCTGATGCCAGCATTTTCATACATTTTGTGTGTTAGATGTAGCTTGGATACTTATTGGATATGCATGTCAAATGATCACCCAAGTGTCAATGAGTATTCAGAACTTTGCTCACCACAGAGCACATTTGTATGAATCGTGCTGAGAAATGCTAAGTACACTTGGATAGACACAGAAGGAAAAGCTGGCATTTGTGCAAGACTTCTCATACTCTGCATGATGGGACTATTACATTTCCCAGTAATTTCACAACACTAAGTTCCCCACCAATGTGCAGAATACGTTGCTAAAACCCTGCTAGTTGAACTTTATTTTTCTTTAATTTTTGGATTGTACAAATAGATGAACTGAAAGTAACATTATGTATTAGGCATTAGCAGAACACAATTAACTTTGTGCAAAATAGTAATAATAACAATACTAATAACAAAAAAGAATATATACAGTGGGGATCGTTTGGGCACCCCAGCTAAAAATTTGTATTAATGTGCATAAAGAAGCCAAGGAAAGATGGAAAAATCTCCAAAAGACATCAAATTACAGATTAGACATTCTTATAATATGTCAATAAAAGTTAGATTTTATTTCCATCATTTACACTTTCAAAATAACAGAAAACAAAAAAATGGCGTCTGCAAAAGTTTGGGCACCCTGCAGAGTTAATATCTTGTACTGCCCCCTTTGGCAAGTATCACAGCTTGTAAACGCTTTTTGTAGCCAGCCAAGAGTCTTTCAATTCTTGTTTGAGGTATCTTTGCCCATTCTTCCTTACAAAAGTCTTCCAGTTCTTTGAGATTTCTGGGCTGTCTGTCACGCACTGCTCTTTTAAGGTCTATCCATAGATTTTCACTTATGTTGAGGTCAGGAGATTGTGAAGGCCATGACAAAACCTTCAGTTCAATCTGTAATTTGATGCCTTTTGGAGATTTTTCCATCTTTCCGTGGCTTCTTTATGCACATTAATACAAATTTTTAGCTGGGGTGCCCAAACTTTCAATCCCCACTGTATTTATTTATAAACTATATTGCTAAAAGTATTGGGATGCCTGCCTTTACATGCACATGAACTTTAATGGCATCCCAGTCTTAGTCCATAGGGTTCAAAATTGAGTTGGCCCCGCCCTTTGCAGCTATAACAGCTTCAACTCTTCTGGGAAGGCTGTCCAAAAGGTTTAGGAGTGTGTCTATGGGAATGTTTGACCATTCTTCCAGAAGCGCATTTGTGAGGTCAGGCACTGATGTCAGAGGAGAAGGTCTGGCTCATAGTCTCCACTCTAATTTATCCCAAAGGTGTTCTGTTGGGTTAAGGTCAGGACTCTATCAGGCCAGTCCTCCACCCCAAACTCACCCATCCAGGTCTTTATGGACCTTGCTTTGTGCACTGAATTGCAGTCATGTTGGAACAGGAAGGGGCCATCCTCAAACTGTACCCACAACGTTGGGAGTATGAAATTGTCCAAAATGTCTTGTATGCTGAAGCCTTAAGAGTTCCCTTCACTGGAGCTAAGGGGCCAAGCCCAACCCCTGAAAAACAACCCCACACCATAATCCCCCCTCCACCAAACTTTACACTTGGCACAATGCAGTCAAGCAAGTACAGTTCTCAGACACATCTATCGGATTGCCAGACAGAAAAGTGTGATTTGTCACTCCAAAGAGAACATCTCCATTGCTCTAGAGTGGCGGCATGCTTTACACCACTGCATCTGATGCTTTGCATTGCACTTGGTGATGTAAGACTTGGATGCAGATGCTAGGTCATGGAAACACATTCCATGAAGGTCTCTACACACTGTTGTGCTAATCTGAAAGCCACATGAAGTTTGGAGGTCTTTAGCTATTGACTGTACAGAGAGTTGGCAACTTCTGTGCACTATGCGCTTCAGCATGTGCTGACACTGCTGTCATTTTACGTGGCCTTACCGCATCATGGCTGAGTTGCTGTTGTTCCCAGTTGCTTCCACTTTGTTATAATACCACTAACAGTTGACTGTGGAATATTTAGTAGCAAGGAAATTTCATGTGTTCATTGTGTTCTTGGATTGGACAAGATGGAGTGGTGGAGCGGTGATCTCATCATATATGGCACTTCTCCACTCTGGCAACCCTGCCATTTCACTTGAGGATTACGCAAATGCTGATTATGACCTCCTATTAGTATTAATATTGAGGTCCTTCTAAGGCTAGACTGTGTTGCGATTGATGCATTTTTTGGCACGTTTTGCGATGCATTTTGCATTTTTTAACATTAATTTTTACCATGTTTTTACGCTTTTTTTCCCAATAGGCAAGAATTGATTTTAATGCCACTTTGATGTGACTTTGGATGGGTGTGACTTTGAAGTGACTTTGATGCAACTTTGGATGGGGCAACTTTGATGAGACTTTGGATGGGTGCAACTTGGATGCATCTTGGATGGGTGTGACTTTGATGCAACTTTGATGCCACTTAGCATGGGTGTGCAACTTGGATGCAACTTTGAAGCTACCTGAGTGCAAAAGAGTAGAAAGTTCCATTACCCACCCTCCTTCAATACGAGACTGCCTCACACGTTTGGGAAAAGTTGCGGAGATGGAAGAGCTGATTGCTTCATCACAAGATAATCCAACCAAATTCTCCCATGTCTGGTCTTGCTGGACTCACTTTCAAACGACCCCTGAATTCCGTTCCCTTATGGGTCTTTCCACTTGCACTGTGCCGAAGCCTTCTTAACCATATCCCCCCCCCTCGACCTCTTTTTTTTTCTTAGGATGTCCTGACATTCTCCTCTTCCCTTTATGCAGATCAGAGCGTGATACCTTCAAGTGCAATGCACCCGATTGTTTGACACACATTTTTTACCCTTTTCGGGGTTGCTTTTAGTTGCCGCGTCCTTGGAACCTACACACCGGTAATATGCCTGCCTATACTGCCCCCTCCCTAGCTCCCTCCCCTCTGATCCTCTCTCCCCCTCCCTTCCCTCACCCCCCCCCTTTTTTTTTGTTCTCCATCACCCCTTCATCCCTACTCTTTATTTTCTGACTCCTTTATATCTTACCCTTTATCCTTCCTTTTTTCCTTTCCATTTTGCATGTCTTATGTGACGGGAGTGACTTTTGGGGGTGGGGGGGGACCTCTGTATCATCTTCCCAAATTTTTATGTTTAAGTGACCCTGTGCCTGTTAGGGTACAGGGTGTGTATGTGAATGTCTATTGTATATTGGTGTGTTGTCCTTTGTTCTCGGCCACATGGCTGTTTATTGTCCTTTTGCCATGTGCTGCCCCATTGTTCTGTGTCTTGGTTGGATGGGGAGGGGTGATGATTTGTTTCTGGTAGCCCTGCCCACTGATGGGGTGGGCTGATGATGTGTTTACTGTTCCTGGTTGTGTTTCCCCACCCTGTGTATATAACTTCTTGTGTGTGTAAAATAAAGGAGTTGACTTCCTGTTTTAAGAAGAGTCGGGTGCTATTTCCTGAGGGATTTCAAGGGTGTGGTCCGTGGATTTGTGTTCGGACAGGGAAGCTGTGGTATAACGGAATATACCCAAGTGTGGTCTGGGGTCCAGTTCCGTTACATCTTACTTTTTTTCCTCCTCCTGCCCTTCCACTTTTTTCCCTGCCCATCGGTGACACACACTCATACCCATATATAAATTGCAATATATGTGCCTCCCGATTCACGAAGACCTCCTCCCGCACATGGGTAACCATTA